TCGTCACTGAAATTTGACATTCGTATCTGAACATTACATTGAACTGCCTGTTGCAATGCTTTAAAAGAATTGCTGGTCATTCCGCATGAGTGAAATTATTAGTCGAGCGCAATAGTTTTCAAGCCAAGTTTCGCCCGTCACAAAAGTAGTAGTAGTATTAGGATGGTTAGCTACCGCTTCAACTATCAAGCTACTACTCGTATTTCGCACCAGAGGTCAAAAGATAACATCGCCGCGAGGCGGAAGGTTTCAATTATTCAAAATCTCAAATTAATCGATCACCCACATGGGGCGGAAGGTCTCAGATGTCCAGCATACTGAAGCTGGCTCGAAAGAAGCAGCTATAGCACCTCAAAGAGACGAAGTGACAAGGAGGGACAGGTGAAAAGCAACAGAAACGAAGACAGTCGAACAAGAGGTCGCTTACACGGGACGTCGGCCGCCCGCACGAGAGAGACAGAGAAGGGAAATGTAAGGTATCCTACCTACATAATAACTTAATGTAAGGAATCTTACCTACATAATAACTTAACCCCACAACTGAGACCTGCAGTCAGACACCGCGAGCTCAGCGGTGGGGCGCTCAGGAACAATCCCCTAGGAACGCAAAAGCCCATAGGACTTCTGACGAGCACAGACACGCGTCATATACCCCCCTGAAGGGTCCTTCACAAAAAGAACCCATTAACAGAATTAACATAAATATCAGAATGAACATCAGAATCAACAGAGTAGGTTTAGGTAAACTTTTTTATTTCGGCGTTCACAAAAATCAAGAGTCGGCGACAGACCATATGGACAAATTTCTTCAGCGCCGACATTGCTATGTTATAATGAGCAAGCTTATATAATTTTCACTGATAAACAAAAATGAATTATCTACCAATATTTTGCATATTCAATGTTTCTTATGTTTGTAATGGACTATACCAGTATCAAGGAGTAAAAGAAACTTCTAATTTATTTACAGGGCACCAAACTAATGAATTTTTTCGGTCTTTCCAATTTTTGGCAAAGTTTGACCTTATTCCTCAAGATCAACAGAACCTAATGTTGGAAATTTTCCTTTGCGTGATTGGGGACAATCGTCACCACGCCTCTTTAGAGGGTGCATAATTTCAAGATTTTTTAATTTGGGGCTTAAATTTTGGCAAAGTTTATTTGAAAAATAAACCAACTTTTGCGTAAAATTTCACAAAAATTGGTGATGCTCAGGTGGATCTCTGGTACAGTTGACCTAAAATGACCGCCATACATGCAGGTTACCGATACATACCATTCGGCAAAAAAACAAATGTAACTAAAATTTCCGATCTGGTAAAGCGATTCCATGAGATTCAAACATTCCAGATGAAGATAACCATAATTCAGTAGATCGGTGAGATTTATTAGGTGCCATCCGCCGATCAGGGATTAATTAACTGAAACTATCATTCAGCTATTTCGATTTCGAACACCGTTCCTCGATTAGTCCTCAACTCCATTATGAAATAATATATCGTCTGTTAGTATCATGTAAGAAATAACGGAAATAATGATTGTCAGCCGTAATCGGCATTGGTGTAACTCGCTTACGTTCACCCACAGGCCAACGTCGTGGCTTCAGATACTGCTGGCCCGCCGCTGGGCTGTGGGCGGACGCAGACCTTGGTGTCCGTGCGCTTCCAGACCCTGGTGGTGCCCGGCCCAAAATTGGACGTGGTGAGCTGGTCTTATTATTAAATTCTTATAATATCCCTCCCCCCAAGTCACGGGTACCAAGAGTTAAGAAACACCAACCCATTAAGGTCAAGCTGGAAACACCACCACTGACCCGTACCACGAAGTTCAAAATCATCTCAATAAATAGACATAGCACATTAGACTTTTAACATTCAAATTCTTTATGTCTACACTAAAATTTTATACCCAGAATCTAATCTTAAACAATCTTCTAATCCTGATGAAAGGAAGGCGTAGAATGGTTTTAGACAACTCCGCGAGAACTTTCTTGGTATCAACAAATAATAAAAATTGACTCCGTCCTGTTCGATGCTGTATCGTAATGAACCAAATAAATTTTGCAATGAAATGTCATGTTCTCAAAGATTCTTACTAATTTGTATGTTCTTGAACTTATATTTGCTCGTGTCTATTGTATGGGTGTTAAATATCTTTATTAGTGCTAGGAATAGTACAGTAAATCAGTATTGCACCGGAAAAATAAAGCATATTTTCAAACTATACAGTATAAATCACTTTTCAATCTCCCCCAAAACTTGTTTCAATATCTCTGAATCAGAGGTGAATATAAATTATGCACTGAATTATTGTTGGCTATATTTAATTATTAATTAACCGTTATTATCAAAATTAATGAACAAGAAATTATAGTATATAGAATAATTCCGATGGTGTGACCAATTTTCTATAATAAACCAAATTTCTCCTCGCTTTTAATGATCAAGAAAAACTAAACTATCTGAAGTTGATCATTTTCATTCCTACCGGCTATGAAGGTGGACGGTGAATGATTCCTGCTGATGGACAAGTGTAAGTGTGTTTGCGGCTTAACCCTATAGGAAGAAAACCTTGTGTAGACGCCAAAAAAATTATACGTGGCATCAAAGCTGTACAATGAACTTATCCTTTAATGCGCGTAGTGGGACTTCAATGCAACGAATTTTCTAGCTAAGACTCTTCTGATGATTTATCTACGAAAATTTGTTCATGATTATATGATAATGGTAATTAATGCACTGTTTCAGACGTATCGTCGATTCCCGCTCACTGAAGGTGACTTGGCTACAGTCATTAGTACGTCAACCTCGCTGCCAGCCTCCGATGTGGGGGAGTGGCCAAAAAGTCGGCAAAAGCAGGTGCGAACCACGCATGCACTATAACTAAGAAGTAGTTGAATGAGAGGTTGTGGAAGGTAAGAAGCTATCATGATGCAGGATATTGAAGATGCAACACAGTAAGTAATCACCTCAAAAAAGGAGCCCATGCTTCTTTCAGTGGGTATGATTTTCTACGAATATGTGTGAATCGTAAACCAACCCTATTTTCGTGTAGGTTCGAACGGGACGACATGTCCTAATCATCATATCAGCACAAAAATCCATTGGGAAAAGGTGCCATCTTACGATACAATGTACATATGTGAGTGTGTCTTCCCGTACGTGCGTGCCCAAGCATTTGCAGTAGAGTATCACCAACGAAAGTCTCCAATTGATGCTTCTCGGCACTGAAAAATAAAATTTCACGCGTAAACTTACAAAGCTCTCAAGGTCATTACCTATGTGTGGTTCATTCTCTAAGAGCCTTATGGCTTTGCTGACGGATTAGCAGCCTTCACGCTGTGAGTGCGCGCCACTAGCCTTTAATAAAAACAACTCAATCAATTACGGTGCTGCCACTGCAATCAAAAGCCATATTCCATTCAAACTACATGACAACTTGCACACAAATATGCTCACAATCACAATAGATACACAAGGACTCATCACAGTAGGAACGACATGCATCCCACCCCGCATAGGCTACATAAACTACATTGAATTTCAAACACTTTTGAAAAGGCGCTATCCCGCAAATCTCCTCGCGGTCTTAAACGCTCGTCATACACCACTGGTGAATTGCTCGTACAATCACATGGGTAAACAATTACACTAACTCATAACCCGACACAAGTGCACCCACATTGGCCCTTACTACCGTACCCTCATCACACACAACAGCGCAACACCACACTAAATGGTGTTGCGCACCCTACTTAACCAACAATATAGCATTCTACAACAAACACCTACAACTACACCTACAACTACACCTACAAAAAACATGATACACTATATCTGCTATAAATATTTAATCACTCCATCTCTGCTGGTTATTTCCCAGACTCCCTAAAACACGCTATCATGATCTTCCTCCCCAAACCCAAGACTTAACCGCACAAAGTTCAAAACTACGGGCAAATTTCATTACTAAAAATCCACGGGAAGCTTTTGGATGAAATACTCAACAATAGATTATACTAACACTTTACCATCCACAACATACACAATACTAAACAGCATGCACGGTTTCAGGAAGCCTAGAGGGATACATATAGCATTAGCCACATTTGACGAAACACTCTGCAGACACTTAGCACAAAGACACACCAGTGACTCAGTGCACCGCTAACCAAAGCTTGTGACAAGGTCTGGCCCACCGGACTACAACAAAAAATCAACCAACTCAACATCTACTCATCCTTCAAAAAACACTAGTAGACTACCTCACAGACAGAACAGCATCCATCAGAATGGGCAATCACACAAGTCTCACATCCTACTCCATACAGGTAGCACCCAAGGAGATTGTCTCGCCTCAACTTTCTACAGCTTCTATCCACATGACTTTCCACCACTACTACACAATACAGATTACATAGGATTTGCAGACGATGTAACACAAGTAACAACAGGATACTACAAACAGAACGAAGCTACACTAACAACACAACAGGTCATCCAACAGATGAACACATTCGAAAACTAAAAGCTCATTAGGACCAACACTACGAAGTTTATGGTCACCCCTATCGCTTGACGAAAAACATCTGAATGATCTGACATACTCAAAGCCAACACTCACTACCCATACACAAACAACAGAAATCCAAAGCTCTTTCGATTCCCCTCTCCCCATTCCCTAACCACTATCAAACTCCGCAAACCTACAACCATTATAATCATGCGCCATGCACCTTTCTTCTCTCCCACTGTCCCTTACATTTCTCGATCTTCGTCTTTCTGGCCACTAATGTTGTTTTCTTCCACTTTTTCGAAGTGTCACCGCACCTCCATCACTTCCACCACCAACTAACAAGAAAAATCTTTAATAATATAGATTTTCTGATATATTCTGACATAACTAAAAGACGACACTAGATGTTCATTACTATAATGATCTTTGATTGTTGTAGTCACTGCTAGAATTTTTAGAGAATAACCAATACTTATTCATGAACTTCACGAGCGAAATTTGTTCAATCCTATAGATTTCATTAGATTTTATAAAGTTTGCTTGGAAAATCAAATCACGAAGCGAAATTTTAGCTTGCCTAAAAAGAGATATTTTCACAAGTTTCAGAAACTGAAATTGATTGGTCTAGATATATAAGGCCGAAGTTCTGATGTTCTTGATATTAATTACCTCATATTGCCATAGGAGACTGTCGTTAAAGGCCGGCAAAAGATTCTGACTAGTCGTTGATTTAGGGCGGCCAATTGTAGGCCCATAATAACTTGAGGCCGGTAGCAGCGGAGTCCTGCGTAGAATCTTGGGCGTTACATTTTTTTAGGGGATGTTGTGATGGTGTATCTGTCCATGGCTAAGAAAGTATTGTGAGGGATGAAGTTGATTATGGATTGATGTCAAACAAGCAACTATTTTGCTTGTGCTGATATATTTCACCTAGAATTTCAGTCCGTAACCTTTCTCAGTTTGTCAGCATACTATCGTTATGAGGGCGGCAGGGATTGGGTCTGGATCTCTGGACCTCCTAAATATTTCGATTGGTTTGAAATGGTCGGCAACTTGTACAGGTGTGCAAGATTTTTATTATGTTCTCTAGTAATTTTTAACCCGGATCACGGTCAACGTCATGAGTCGTGGGTGTTATACGAAACAGTGTCATTCTTAGTATTGTCGTCGTCATTCTGCAGTACTGATATGATCAATGCTTGGGGTTGCAAATCCATTAAGACTGGAATATCTTGAGCAGTGGCTGCAGACGTCTGGCGCTATGGTTTGAATACTTAACATAATGCAAGGTTATTCTAAATGAGGGACCCAATTTAACAAATTCGTATTTATTTAAATAGGAATTCAAAATTAATAATTTATACACCAATAGCAATAAAAATATTCATAGTTTTTAATAAATGTTCAATATGCCCCCCTTAGCTTAGAAACGTCCCCCGAAAACACAAACAGGTTCAATATGTCCCCCCTTAGACTTAAGCTTAGCTTCTTCCTCAAACCATCATCCTTCTTCGCTTTAATTTTGTCCTCGATTAGTACAGACAAATAATTTTTTATGGAAGCTTAAGCAATTTTCAGTTTCACCATGGCTTCCTGGAACGACTTGTTTAGCCTTGATGGAATCAATCAAAAACTTAAATTCACCATAAAAATTTTACCTAAAAAATAAACTTCATTTTTCAGGAATGGACGCATTTTCTTTCGAAGGAAACTGCACAGCTTACAAATTTCGCGGCAAACTTTGCCCCTGTCTTAAGGGCGAGAAAGTCGTTTACTTGACGAACGCCAGTATTTCCAACGGGTCTATATCAACTGTACCTCTGAGTGAGTCTCTGGAGTAATTGACTGCTTGACCTGTAACATTGCCGCTTGTTACCTGCTCAATTGCAATAATAAATCGTTATTTGTTGATTTTACACATTTTTTTGCTATTTTAAAGATAGATGACAATTTAGGAAATAACATTGTTGAATAATTCATGTTCAATCATGGAATTCCAGCTTTTACATGTTTAACAACGATACTCTATTAGAAAACACTCAACTCCATTCGACGTGTAATGCATATATAAAGATCATGTCCGGTTCTATTTATAATTGGTATCATATCTTTACTTTGTAACATCACTTACACAATTATTCACGAATCTAACCATTACATGGAACATTATGTGTGATGTTGTTGTGGCTGGAGAATGTTTAATGTTAGCAGTGTTATGAGGGGAGCGAGCGGCTGAGTGCCGATTTGGGTGAGTGTGTGTGTGATTTTCAGGGCTTGCTTCCTCTGCTAATTGTGTTATAGCGAGTCCAAGCTTGCTCAGTGCAGAATTAGAATAAATATAGAATATGATATCATGTCTCATTGCGCAGATGGTAAAATGTAATCGTTAATTTGGGTACATTTGAACAGGCGTTGCTCCCTACGCCAATACAACTGTAAATAATTTCGTGTTCAAGCAATACCAGCTCCAACAGCAGTTGCTCTCGGTTGTCTCCTCGAAATTTATGGCACCTATCGAAAAAAGTAAGTTACTACGGTTTTGAGCAATATGAATCACAATTCACTTTCGTAAATTGGAAATAATACATAGACTTTTGCGCTGAATTTAGGTACAGAAAATATTTTTAAGAGGCCTGTGACGACATATGAAACGAAATTGTTCTCCTCTGAAATGCTGAAATGTTTTATTATTTTTTCCAAAAATGTCTTACCTTATCTTACTTTGATGATTACATACCTCCTGTTTAAGACTGCTTTTGCATTATAGTAGTTGTTCGGAACATAAATGCTCTATATTGTTGAATAATAAATACAGTTTTTTTCGGTTCGTTGCAGTTGGCGATTTCATCTATCTAGCTTACCTATTTCCTCGAGAAGATGGCAGCTATAATGGTATTTTCGTCTATCATCTGGACGTGGCTTCATGTGTTTCCGACACTCCATGCGGTTTACCCGTCATTTTCGTCATGACTCTGCCAACTTACTACTTCCGTGAGCACTAATTACGCATATGAGAAAAAAGCAGAGAATTGTTCATTGCAACGGTATTTTAACTGCAACGTGTGTAACTCACAAAAACACAGCATTTGGTAGCAATAACTCCATAGATTTTTCATTCGAGAAACCTGGAGTTAGGATTCATCTAGGAAGTATCTACGAACGGAAGCATCATTTCAATTAGCTCGTCAAAGATGCCATACAAACACTTAACAGCGCTCTTATAGGAAGTCAGTACTCCTTAAACAGTGGCAGAGAACGCGCTAACCGAGTTTATTGATATGAAGCAGCATGGCTCCTTATACGTTTAATTATTATATAGTTGTATTATTTTTATACAGGATCTGGTAGAATGAAAGATGACAATTGTTTTGGGGCGTAGATTGAGAAAAGGGTGAACTGGCGGAGACTGAGATGCGGGGATTTCAAATGGCGCTGATGAATTTTATTTGTTCTAAATAAATATTAGCCCGATGCAATAACGCCGCACGAGATCTTGATAGTAAATCTAAAATGGTATCCAGTTAAATTTTAATGCTCTGTACTCACTTAAATGTTTTATTTTCAATTAAATCACAATTTTCTCAAAAGCATATTTCCACAGTAAACGAATGCGGCAACACAATTGACCTCGACCTGACCCCTTCTCCAATTGGGTGGACGGTGTTCTCACACCCTGGCTTTGGGTGCAAGCCATTCCCCGACGGTCCGACCTACAACTGCACCATCACATTCATGGGTGCCTCAAATTTTGTTTATATTGGCTTTTTAACTGGCAATGATGGTTCCTGCGACGGCTACACTGCGAAAGTTACTTACAGTCCTAACGGCATGACGCAACAAGATTCTGATTTGTGCATCGATGAAATGGTCAGTGGCTGGGATTAATTTAGAGTTTTTTCAATAACTGATGTTCGGATGTTTCAGACTATAGATATTTGTTCTTTTTTACAACAGTTCTCTTTCACTTCACTTCTTGTTGTTTGTTTGTTTGTCTGCTACAAATCTTATAATCTATGTTTAATACCCTTCTAATTGTTCAATTGATCTGAAATTTCGCACATTTGCGTAAATTCGGAGACAATGCTTGAATCAATTGACGGAATAAAAAAAAAAATTTTTAACATAACAAAAAAAATTGTTTAATAATTTTTTAAATATTTAAAATAAATCTTGAAATTCATTGTACTTGTGTAACATCTTAGAGCTTAGACAGTGCCCTCTTTAGAAATGTTGTCTTTAAAAAGTAAATTTTAAATGCGTATTATCTAAATATTACATTTATTTATATTTTTGCACTTATCAATTCAATTGATTTGCGCCAACTTCGTAAATGGATATTATTTTCCATAACTGCAAACGTTAGAGTCACACTAACTTGAGTCACTTTTATAACGTATTTAACCATTTTCCTTGCCTCGAATTGCATTTGGATGCCGGTTTCTTCTTATAACATAACATAACATAGTGATGTCGGCGCTGAAGTGTAGGCCAGATGTGGCCTGTCGCCGATTCTTTTCCTTTTCGTGCCTTGTTCATAGATCTCATCACGTTTTAATTATTTTCTTGAAACAAAACCATTTGTTCAAGATGAGTTGGATTAAAGTTTGAAATTATTGAGAGAAAGCTTTGATAATGCGCAAAATGCTGTGAATGTTCTGCGATGTTAAGAATCGGCGACAGGCCTACGGCCTACTAAACGCTGAAACCGCTATTATTATTATTATTAATGCGAGTACGGGGGCATCATCGAAACTCGACTACCTGACACTGTAGTAAGTTATACAGAGACGAAGGGATGAGCCAAAAAGTGTCAATCGTGAGCCCAATGAGAAACCATTAAAAATACAAGAACTAATCAAATGAAGGCCTAAAAGGTGTGATGTCTTAATCAAACGAGGATTTGACGAAAATTGTTCATTGAATGTTTCCCTAACTAACTAACGCTCGGAGGAGCCAGTCACTGCTGCTTATATACCCTGGACTAACGTTAGAAAATTTTTGATCTCTAATCAACTAAATAAAAATTCAGAGACTCATTATTGACGTTTTGCTGCGCCATACANCAACGACTGAGCAATTTAAGGCACTTTTTAAATTATTCAGATTTATACCTAGGCGAAAGTAGTCTTAAGAGGGCCGTTCACGGACGCTTCAACTCTAAACTCGGCACACGGGGGAACTGAGGTTAAATTTCAGCGGCAGCGTCTGGCAGGGTAGTGACGTGGCCGAGGGTGCACGAGAATAGGAGGTACGAACTGCACTAATAATTGTGCATGGATTTTTTAAGTTACGTCGTGGCATTCATTTTCATTACTATTTAAATACACATCCCAAGTTACCGCAAAATTTCTCATCTTCACTGCAGACAGCGGCTTATTTTTCACTAATACATAAACCGTTCGCTGCCGACAGGAGAAATTCAGTGCCCTGCGAACAGTGGCCACCGGTCTATTCTGATCATTCAGACTGTTCATGATTATTTGCATCTACGATCATTTAGTTTCTTACTCAAATAATGGGTGGCTCAAAAATACGTTCGAACATTGAAGAAAGCCATAAAACTATGGTGTAAGTAAATAAAATCATTTAATAACATTCGTGACATTGATCAGTTCACTTATCGAATAATTTCTAGAAAGTAATCACATGCATGGTTATTTTGGGAGGTAGCTGAGAGCTTTCTCTGTTCTTAGCTAGGCCCAACTGGCCGTGCTTATTCCCCCAAAACAGAGGGGGAGGAAGGAACGGGCAAATAAAATGAGAGAGTTGAGGAATTTGCCTCCTGGGCTCAACCCCATGAGGCTCAACCCAATTCCCTCCCTACCTCCCCATTGTTCTGACATTGTCCTCCCCTACCTCTATCGTCTTCTATGTTGTTATCTCAGCCGGTTATCGTTGCCTCAACACCGATACCGAGGGGGAGCGCAGCCCTACACCACAAATTTGGCTCATCAACAAGCCCTAGCGCCAACGCCTACCCTATAATGCAATAACTAAACTCAGCTCACACCCAAGAAGCTGTAGGTAACACTATAATCGTGTATAGGCTCGCAACCTGCAAAACTGTAGTAGACCGTGGACGCAACCAATATACGCAACTATTAGCCCCGTGTATAAGCACCTTTTCTGAGTCATCTCCTAACACCAACTTTAAGCAACACATACCTCACTCCACAGCCTGCTGAATCAAAGTCAATTGTCAACAGGTCCTACTCCACAGAATTTTACCCCATACTATCACTTCTTACACACGTCGTAAGCCTTACTGGCCGCAGACCACGCCGGATCACCGTAAACCTGCTCTGCTATTTGCAGGACTGGCGTAATCCCGCCGCACTCCACGGGCAGATGGCTTGATGTTATCTGTCTGATTGATTAATTTCCAGGAAAGAAAATGGCACCTATAGCTTTAGGCGCTTAATCACAAAGGCTAATACGTATGCCCTCTAGCGTGATTACGAGCGGAAAGGAATTGATATTGAATCGTGGGCAAGGGCTATGGAGGGGTCTATACTGCGTCCCCTGGTTCGACCCACGGCCTAGATACGGGCGGCTTGAAGTGTTGAAGGCTACGTTCCGGAAGGCAGGAATCATGATGGTCCATTACATCCAGGGCACTTGTGGTCTTCGGCAGGCGACCCTTGCGGATATCATTTGCTATTCCACTCGTGATGTTACCTTGGTCGTTGTGACGTCACCGTGTGATACAAACTAATGTGTAACACCTGTTTTGCTTAAAATAAGACTAGTTGCAGTAAATACTTTTTTTTACATTTTTATGAGGTCAATGTTTTTCATGGTTGAACTAATACAAGGTATGCTCTAGTGCAGCCGCACCATGCCGATGTCATTTGTTTTTCCAACTGTGACGTCACGTTGGCTATTGTGACATCACTTTGGCTCCTGTGACGTCACCTAGTGACGTCAAACTGATTTGGAAACCGGGTTTGCTTTAAAAAAGACTATCTGCATGCCGTAAATAATTTTTCTTGGGCCATTTTGATGAGGTCAATTTTTTAAATGCTTTCAAAGATGACATAAAAACAATGTGTTGATCTACACTGTTTACGTCTTGTGCCCACAGTGACGTCACTCTAGAGATGCGCAGGAGGGCTAAAAATCGTCATCGCCGTAGGTCAACCTAATATTAGTTCAACCTTAAGTCGGCACCGTGTGGACGCTCTAAAAATTGCAACGATTTCATTTCGACTGAAAACTGCGCAGACAAAAGGTTGTAAGACTGAGCGTGTGGACCGGCCTCTATACTGTCCTCGTGTACAGGCTTACTTGTCGGATAGTCACCAATCGCCCGACGCCCGACATTTGCCAGATCTACTTGCCGCCTGCACTGTACCCTTGTACAATCACCTTTACGCTTTAGACGAAGCAAATCCGTTGTGTAACGCTGACATGGCAACAGTATCCGAACTGAATTGACACTTCTGCGGACCCGCCTGCGAACTCGCCTGCGGATTCAAACGCACAACCTAATTTTTCGCTGAACCGAACTACTCATAACTCCTTCAATACTGAACGGATCGGCTCGAAATTTGGAAAATAAGTAGTTTTTAAGTATCAATGCCATGCGATAGGATTAATCACAGATTTTTACATTACATCGTTTTCAATTAAAATAAAAAATGTCATTTTCAGGCAACCGAACCACAATCGGAGTTGCCGATTCGGTATAGGTCAGACCCCGGTCAGACACTGCGTGAAGGGGAGTGCAGCCGCGCACCACCAATTTTGTGCACCAATAAGCCCTGAATCGAACGCCTTGGATCTCTCCGGTCATCCACCAATCAGCCGTGAACCACTCGGCTTTGTCTTCCTCTGGCCTCACATGGAACCTGCAGTGCACCACCAGGCCGCGGATCGAATCTGACTTCCGGGCATCGTTAAATTGCGTAATTTTACGTTCACCGCATCTGAGGTTAGGTTTCAGATAGCACAGTTCTGTTCCAAAATTTATCGTCCTTCGACAAGTGGCCGTTCGACCGGGGGCTGGTTCGACCCACGGCCTAGATACGGACGGCTTGAAGTGTACGTTCCGGAAGGCAGGAACCATGATGGTCCATTACATCCAGAGCAGTGGTGGTCTTCGGCAGGCGACCCGCATGAAGTAATTCCGATAATTGTAGAACTACTAGTTCAACCGACTACGTGATTCCGACAACGCTCGTAAGACTGAATAGACACTTTTACGAAGTCGCCTGCGCATTCGAACGCAAAACCTAACTTAACGCTCAGCGCGCCCAGTCATAACTCCTTCAACACTTAACGGATTTCATTCAAATTTGGAACATAAGTAGGTATTACCAATACGCTGTGATAGGAATTAATACAGATTTATAAATCCATTTTTTCATTAATATGGAAAAACTCAATGTTGGGGCTGCTCGCCCAGTCATAATTTTTTAATAACGAATGAATCGCAGCCCCAACGTTGAGGTTTTCCATATTAATAATGATATACGTTTAAAAATTACTTTTTAAAGACAACACTTCCAAAAAATCCAGTGTATCCAATCTTAAAGATGTACCATGAATTTCTCATTTAATTTTCGAATATTAAAAAAATTAATTTTTCAATTTTTTCAATATATAATTTTTTTTA